CTAGCCTTTACTAATCCAATGTCCTAGGAACATCACTTTTTGGCAACATAATTCACATTTCTCCTTCTTAACATACAATTGGTGCTTTCTAAGCCGTGAGAACACTATCCTTAGATGGTCTAAGTGATCCTCCAACGACTTAATATAGACTACAATGTCATCTAAATAGACAACCACTAAAAACATCATTCATTAAATTACAGAAAGTAGTCGGAGCGTTTGTGAGCCCAAATGGTATTACCAGGAATTCAAATGAACTATAATGCATAACACAAACAGCTTTGGATTCATCTCCTTTTGCAATTCTAGCTTGTCAATACCCATTCCTCAAGTCCCGCTTTGTGTAGAAGGTTGCTTTGAAGAGCCTATTGAACAGATCAACATCATTCAAAATAGGGGACTTATTCTTGAGCATCACTTTGTTCAGGGCCTGATAGTCAATGCACATCTATGGCAAACCATCCTGCATCTTTTGCAATAGCATTGGTGCTCCATATGGCACCTTAGAGGGCTAGCAACTCATTTAACTACTTCCTCATTTCTAGTAACTCCATGGGTGACATTCAGTGGGGGGCACGGGTTGGAGGCTTTGTACCAGGCTTCAGCTCGATCTTGTGATCAATTGCACGTCTAGGCGGAAGGGTCTTGGGGAGTTCTATGGGGGGCATAAAATTAGCAAATTCCCCCAAAATTTGTGCCATAGTATTGGACACTTCAACCTTCACATCAAGGTTTGATCTCTACTAAAGCCGCAAGGTATGTCATCTCACCCTTTTGCAATCTAGATTTCACTTGCATAGCGAACAAAATCTCTATCTTCTGCTTGCCAGCGTTCTTGCTTTGGTCTGCCAACACAACAGGCATAAAACATGTTGTTCTCTCTTCCGAGATTAGCATCCCATTCAAATGTGGCATTAGCGCCACCTTAGCGTTGATAAAGAATTCATTGCTAAGGATGATGTCAAATTTGTCTAAGGGTACTGCCATCAAACTCGCCTAACCTTTCTACATACCCACTTTTAGGCTTTTCTTTGTCGTGCCATGCACCAGCATTGCTTTGGAGTTGACAACCTTGAGTTTGGTTGAGTTTTAAGAAAGTGGTTTTGATATTTTTTAAGAAAGTGGTTTTGATATTTTTTGAGATAAAAAACTCGTTTGGGTAGATGATTTCAAAAATAATTTTATAATATAGAAAATAGTAAAATCTGTTTGGACAACCTAAATATATATTTGAAAAGTAATTCAAACATTAATAAAAAAATATAAAAAAAATATTTTTAGATTGACACAAAATATATATATATATATATACGTATATACGTTTTTATATATATATATAAGTTTTTATATATACATGTATAAATATACGTATATATATATATATATACATATATATATATATATAAATAAATATATATATACCCATCCAAAATTGTTCTCCTTATTTCCAAAATTTTCAAAAAAAACTCTGAAAACAAGCTACACTTGTTTTCTGTTTCTTTGACTCAAATCTCATTTTTTCCTCAAAATTTAGAGAATAAAAATGCTAAACAAACAAGTTTTGAATGTTTTTGAAATTTTGAGAACAAAAAACTGTTTCCGATATGATAACCAAGCAAGACCTCAGTTTTGTCTTTCTTGCCACCACCATCTTTCTTCTTCTTTTCAGAAGGGCCTGAACTGTTGTCCATCTTGAAGTCAACAAGGCCATCCGTAGCAGTGATGGCAGTGGCCAAATCACACACCTCCTACCTATACAGCTTGGCTTGGCCCATCCTTGCAAACCGGACATTAAATTGAAGAGTTTGTCCTCCTCGAACATGTTCTTGATACCCAACATCAAAGAACTGAAATCCTTCATGTAATCTTGAACAGTGCCGGTATGCTTCAATTTCTTAAGCGAGTCCCTAGTAATCTAGGTAGTGTTGCTAGGTAGAAATTAATCCTTCAACTCATTTTTCAGAGTATCCCACATTTAGATCCTGGGCTGTCCCCGCACTAGCATCGTCCTCATTCCAAGTTTGCCAACAAAGTTTGGCATCCCCAGAAAGATATATGCTGGTTATTGCAACTTTCTCTCCCGTAGGCACATGAGCAGCTTTGAAGGACGACTCCATGTCCCACTAAAAGTTTTCCAGATTCTTGGCACTCTGTGTACCGCCAAAGGCCTTAGGTTCTAGGGACTTTGATCTTCGAAGATGCCTCTCCTGCATCTGGTCGAGAATGCATGGTCCTCTTTATAAGAGTTGACTCGTTTTCAAGATCTTTCAAATTGGTCTTAACAACATTAGTGAGGGATAGAATGTCTTCCATCATCGTGTCAATTTTTACATCGGTGTCTGTCACGTAGTTGTCGAAGACCATCCTCAAATACAATATGAACAACTCGTTGTTCCATCCGCACAAATACGTTGGTTGTAACAACACCATGGGGGCGCCCAAAAAATCTTCTGGATGGGTCACATGTTCACGTAACTCTACAACGTTTCCACTAGCCATGATCGGAAACTGTTGCTCTGATACCAACTGTCACGAGGTCAAATTTCACTCGAATTTTTGCCTTGTGATGGCGCTAAGATCCGTCACTCAATCTCAACCGAACTCATACAATCGTTTACAGAAACACCTAGTGGAACAGAATATGGGCAAGAATCAAAACACAATAGGCACACAAGATTACAAGCCAAACAACGAAACCTTTTTACTTCTTAACAAGCTTGAAGGATTCTAGCTAGGGGTCTACCTACAAACATGTCCAAATTCTCTTGGTTCACTATAGACCCCGACATGTGTATTTAAAGTATATAATGGCGGTTACAAGCCCAATTGCCTAGGCAATGTGGGCACTACCAGCTTTGGCCAACTCAGCCATGCAGTTGACATCCCTAACTTCTAAGATTGCAGCACCAATCAAATTCGCCCTCAAGGATTGTGGGTTCTGCCACTCCCCACAATTATGTTGAACATCTGCTGAACATGGCTGGTTCTGCTGAACATGGTTGAGTAGTTGTAACTGTTGTTTGACTTAGCCAGCAACTGCTCGTAATCCCCCTGCATGCTGTGCACATGCCACCAGCAACTGTACTGAAACACTTCACTTGAGGTGTACATGCTAACAATTGCACAAAACTGCCTCACCTGAGGTGCACATGTCAGCAATCACTCGGAATCCATCAGATCATAACTGTCTCACATGTCGTACACATGCCTCAACTGTACGGAACAGGCTCACATGGTGTGCACCTGACATTCTTAATAGCCTACAACATCTTATTTGCCCACATGTCAAGCCATGCCTAGCCCATGGATTGGTCTTCTAAGCTTGCAATGCACCACAATTCGAGCCTAGACGGCTAGCCATGAATTGATTGCTTGCTTGTGCCCAACGTGTTCATGCATGTGGTGCCTTCGCCATATATGGGACTTCCACCAAAGACGGGCCTCACTAAACCACATCTCGAATCTCGGTCTTTGGAATGTCTTTCTCACACCCATGGCAAGCATTTGTTGGGGTCGTGCCTTACTTTGGTGTGCCAAGATTAAGGGGCATAGATGCCCCTGGGGAAGCCGGCCTAGCACACCTGCACACAGTACCCCCTATAATAGTGTTAGTGAGCAAAACTCTAGTAATAACGATGAGAACCTGGGGCATAGTCGTTGCATGCCACTTGAACTTTTGTCGAACATCTTTAATACCAAACCAAGTCCTTAGAAGCCAACTTTGCACAAAGGGGTTGCTTGGCCAAGCACACCCCCACCTTGGCTAAGGCATGGGGCACTTTTGGATGAGGCACCCGCATGTCATAGCCATGCCAACCAGCTAAGGGGGTAACAAACTAGCATGAATGTAATGTAAGTTTGTTTTGATGTTTNTACGGAACAGGCTCACATGGTGTGCACCTGACATTCTTAATAGCCTACAACATCTTATTTGCCCACGTGTCAAGCCATGCCTAGCCCATGGATTGGTCTTCTAAGCTTGCAATGCACCACAATTCGAGCCTAGACGGCTAGCCATGAATTGATTGCTTGCTTGTGCCCAACGTGTCCATGCATGTGGTGCCTTCCTTAGCCATATATGGGACTTCCACCAAAGACGGGCCTCACTAAACCACATCTCGAATCTCGGTCTTTGGAATGTCTTTCTCACACCCATGGCAAGCATTTGTTGGGGTCGTGCCTTACTTTGGTGTGCCAAGATTAAGGGGCATAGATGCCCCTGGGGAAGCCGGCCTAGCACACCTGCACACAGTACCCCCTATAATAGTGTTAGTGAGCAAAACTCTAGTAATAACGATGAGAACCTGGGGCATAGTCGTTGCATGCCACTTGAACTTTTGTCGAACATCTTTAATACCAAACCAAGTCCTTAGAAGCCAACTTTGCACAAAGGGGTTGCTTGGCCAAGCACACCCCCACCTTGGCTAAGGCATGGGGCACTTTTGGATGAGGCACCCGCATGTCATAGCCATGCCAACCAGCTAAGGGGGTAACAAACTAGCATGAATGTAATGTAAGTTTGTTTTGATGTTTCCATGGTAGGAGTGGGTCGGTGGATTAAAATGGTATTGTACCTGCCTAAGGCTGATTGAGCTTTAAGCCAGTCCCAATTTATATCATTAAGTGTTCCCCAAAACAAAAACAGCAACAAATCTAATATGTATGACTAATGAACATTATGCCCCATTCGGTGGCTGAAAAGGCGGAAATGGGAAGCTTGAAAGTCCATTAACAAAAAATGTGCTTTGTATCTTTGCCCACACTTGTCTGGAACTCGTCTCATTGAGGGGTTCTATGATTTTTTCTACATCATTCACCTCTTGACTGCCCATATTGGAGTTCTAGTTCTCCACTAATATCGAGATATTTTTCGTTGTACATTAGTATTTCAAAAATTGCTGAACATTTGACTCATTTATTGGTCTTAGTTGTCTAGGTTCAATGTAACAGACTTCTTGGTGAGACTGAGGGGTAAAAGGCTAATGCTAGTTGGAGATTCCATGAACCGGAACCAGTTTGAGTCGCTTCTATGTCTTCTCCATGAAGGCCTACCCAATAAAAGCAAGATGTATGAAACTCATGGCTACAAGATAACCAAGGGAAGAGGCTATTACATCTTCAAATTTGAGGTAATTGTAAGTTTAATTCCTCATTTTACTTGTGGTTAACATGAATACTAGTTTTCTTGTGTCACATATATGTGGGGCAACTTAAACAGAAACTTAATAAGTTAAATGATATATCTTGCACTTCTGTTTCTAAAAAAGGCATCTCTTCTTCATTGTTGAATGGTTGAAAAGGAGAAAATCTGTGACCTGCGTGCTTCATTCAACAGGGATTCATGTTTTTCTCTTCTTAGTTGTAAATGTTGAAGGTGTAGTTTTAAGTGCTTTCTAAAAGAACATTTGTGATTTACTGTCAGTAACTTGTTCTACAAAGATTCAACACCCAAAACCATTTTACTGTGAATGCAGGGTAGAGGAAGGCCATTGAATTGTAGTCATATTGTAACAAATCACTCAAAAGAAGAGAGAAATGTAGTCACACTGTCAAACTACTTGTGCAGGATTATAAATGCACCGTGGAATTTGTACGATCACATTTTCTTGTTAAGGAAGGGATTCGCCTAGGTGCACGAGGGAACTCAAATCCAACTCTATCGATAGACCAAATTGACAAGTCAGCTGCCCGTTGGAAACGAGCTGACATTCTTGTCTTCAACACTGGGCATTGGTGGACTCATGGAAAGACTGCTAGGGGGTACGTTAGCATTCTACAATCCTCAGTAAATTCATGTGAACAGATTGAGCTCTCAGTTCTATTTGTTTCTATAGAGTGTATGAGAAATGGTATCATCATCGATAGCCAATTGTTTTTCCCTTGGAGAACAATAATCAATTGATACTCTTTTGAGTGCAGGAGACTAAAGACTCTTAAAAGATGTCTATGACATATCATGAGAAATCTTTAGTAACTGTTTAGTACCATAAAGAGCCAATATGCGGCTGGACTAATAAAAAAAATGCACACTTTTTTGCAGATAGAATCCCAGTTAATTCAGTCATATTGAAAATGATATGGCTATGGTTATTTGATACAGGAAAAATTACTATAAAGAGGGTGATTATATTTATCCCAAGTTTGATTCAGTGGAAGCTTATAGGAGAGCCCTGAAGACCTGGGCAAATTGGATTGATAAAAACATTAAGGCTGACAAGTTGGTCTTTTATCGTGGTTACTCATCTGCCCATTTCAGGTAAAATTATTTCTGAAAGTAGACTCTGAACACCTGTTCTAGATAATGTACGATAAATAAATCCAACACTTCAAAGAATCATACTATATGAATTTGGTATATGGTTGGCTATATCACTCATCTCGTCATTTTTGGCTCTGTAAGCTTTGGGGTCATTTAATGCATAAAATGGAAGAACATAGAAATAGTGGTTTGTTTTATTTGAAGTTGCCTCACTTTTCAAACACAACATATGAATCATTTAAAGGAATCCTTTTTGCTTTTTTCTGGGTCCATTTAATACGAACGGAAGGACATAGAAATAATGGTTTGTTTTGTTTGTAGTTGCCTCACTTATGACACAGCTGTGAATTATTAATAAGGATATTTTTTCGTTTAAGTTTTAAACAAATGGATATTTATCTTGTTTATCAAAACAGAGGTGGAGACTGGGATTCAGGAGGAACGTGTAATGGGGAGACTGAACCTATTTTAAGTGGAGCCTTCCTCAATAATTATCCTGTGAAGATGAAAATAGCGGAGGAGGTGATCCAGGAAATGCAGTTTCCAGTGGTGCTACTCAATGTAACGAGGTTGACGAATTTTCGAAAGGATGGCCACCCATCAATATACGGAAAGAATGTTACCGCTGGGAGAAGGGTATCCACCAGGCGGCAAGATTGCAGCCATTGGTGTCTTCCTGGGGTCCCTGATGCATGGAATGAGTTGATTTATGCCACTTTGGTCAGGCAACATGCTTCGACCACTCATCTGTAAGGATCTTTTTCATTTTTATGCACATGTTCATGGTATACTCCCATTAGTCTGGAAAGCATTGGAACCTTCACATCATGCTGAGGGCCAACGGCACATCCACAAACGCAACAATAGAGAGAGAGAGAGAGAGAGAGAGAGAGACAGCGGCTTGCTACATTGTGTGTTAGTTCTCCTTTATATATTTAGTAAGCGATGTACTGGCTACTATCACCATACTCTTCCGTAGTTCCAGGTGAATTAGTCAAATCAAATACAGGCTATAGTGACCTTCCTTAGCTATCATGTACAGAATGGCATGTGCCCTTTATCATTGTGTATCTTGTGTTTCAGTTAAGTAAATTTCATAACCAATTTGCAGTCATCTCATAATTTTTTTTTTGTGTGCCAATTGAAGGTAGATGAGATAGAAACACTCGAGCTGAAGTTCCACTGTTTTGGTTGCATCCACATTGCATGAACTCCTTTTTTATCTTTTGTTTGCCGATACGCAGCAACTCATTATTTGCGTTCTTATTTGTAAGATTTGTCACCACATTGGAAATTATGAACTTGACTCTTTGATGAATCTTGTCCGAGGACCTACATATGTAAGGTACCATAGGGTTCATAATTGCTTCTTTTACCACAAAACGCTTACCTAGCCGGTGCTAAGATCCAGCTTTCTGTTCTCTGGTTCATCCCTGCTTTCCTTAGCTATCTGACTGTTGAGCATTTTGTCATTTGCTGCGCAAGCTTCCCTTTCCAAGTTTGATTACTATATTATGTTCGGCCATAATTAAACTTTGGAGCTTAGAGCACAAGGGTCAGAGCCCATCAACTATATTACACAGCTCAAAAACTGAAGACTTAATGGTCTAAGCATCACAGTCGTCAACTATGTCACATGAGCTCAAAGGTTGCAAGTGTCATAGCTGGTCATATATTTTATGGAAAAATTTACTTTACCTCTTTGTGGTTTGACGATTTTGCATATCACCTCCCTGTCTTTTTAAAATAGCACATAACCCCTTATGGTTAATGGACTAAAGCACACTCACGCTTTTCATCCGATTTATCAGTTTGTCTAAGTCACGCGCCTACTGTGCTCTGTGCGTTTGGTATAGAAAAAACATCCTGAAATGACAAAAAAAAATCTCCCTCCCCCTCCTCTCTCTCTCTCTCTCTCTCTCTCTCTCTTCCCATGTTTTTCTATTCCTTTGTTTCTTTCTCCCTCTATGCACACCCATCCATCTCCCTGTAAGTCTCTCTCTCTGTTTAGACAACCACCACACCATAACTACACACATCTTCAAACTTCTTTTTGCTATTTGGATAAAAATAAATAAATACCCATCATCATAACCAACCAACATCGGTGGCAATTACCCAATAGTTTACCACCACCGACGACGCCATTATCATTCCAGATCCATCTCGATCAGCTTCAATATCACATGCCCAACCTTTTCTACAAGATTCCGCACAAATCAGCTATAGATTTATCATACAATTATACCCACATATATTTTGTGTGTATATATACATACAAATAAGCGAAAGTTTTTATTTAATATAAAATAAAAATTTACAAGATTTACTTACAAAGTAAGTAGAGGGAACTGAAGAAGATAAAAAGAAATTTTCAAGATAAGAAGGTAGAGAGAGTGTTTGAGGAAAGAGAAGAGGGATAAGAAAAAGGTGTGTCCAATAGGCTGAACAAGCAACCTCTATATATAGAGAACAGATATGAAAGCCGGGTTTCAAAAATAAATTTTTTTACTATTCACAACTTTAAGTTATTCACTGACGTCATTACATACGCCATTACAATATTTGTGACGTCATGACTTACGTCACTCCTTAGCGTCACCCTTTACTGTTGAAGTTTTACTTGTAGAGCAAATCATATAATTCAACATAATTGTTGTCATGGAGATTTATCTCCATATCTTCATTTTCAGGAGTATAAGCGGTATATTCCTGTGAATCCATAAAATCGTCATCAGAGTTGATAGGAGTGTTGGTTTTCCTATCATCCTCCTCAACTGTATTTTTGCCTTTATCTCTTATGGTCATTGTAGGACTATTGATGAGATTCATCTTCTCAGTTTTGCCCATTCCAAAAGTGGACATCATTTGAAGATGCATTTCCTCCATAACTGTCGCTTTAAGCTGCTTAGTTGTCAGATGAGGTTTTTCTTTAAGAAATTCAATGGGATTAAATCCAGTGTTTATATTGGTGCTGAGAACAATTTATTTGGAAATTACTTCCTCTTTTTCTATGTCTTTAAGATATTCCACTATAATTGAAATTTTTTCTTTTAACGGATAGTTATTCCAAAATCTTACTTGATATTCCCTAATTAATCTGGAATGACCATTGTGATTAAAGTCACAAGCAAGAGTCCAAACCCAAATCCAAGGAACAAAAAATTCAAGTGAAAAATTTATAATAGGTTTAACATTAATGTTATTATCCTTTAAGGATGATTTTTTTTTATACAAGTCAAATAATTTTTTCATCTCTTCGGGATATATCCCTTCAATCGCACCATGAGTTGTAAAACTAACTAGAAATCTCAGTACAAGTTTTTGTGAAGATAAAAAACTATGATTGCGTTAATGCTACATTATTGTAGAGAAATGCATTATACCATGCATCAATATAGTCAAAATAATTATACTCCATATAAGGAGGTCTTGTTAAGGTTCTGGAAATTGTTAAATTTAGACCCCAGTCACTTTGAGATATTATCCTTAAAATGGATGCTTTACTGTAGGATGGACTTTTAGGGTCCTCCTTATTTTTGTAAAATTTTTCGAATTCAACAGAATCATTTTCTTTAAGAATATTTTCATAATATACTCTTTCTTTTTTACCAAAGACCAAAAAGGTTTTATCCATCGTCATAAATTGTTAAGCAATATAATATGGATCTATCATCCTATTAATATATTCATTTTCCAAAGTTATAATATTGCTATAAGCAGGCAGAGTGTTTAACTTTGCGTAATTTAATTTTGGTTTGGCTATTAATGCCTCATTTATTATTTATTATTTTTTATTTCTTACGGCAGTATAACCGTCATCATCAGTCTTACTTGTGTGTCATTCTTTAAGAAGTTGTTTACTTATAGTGTTAAGCTATTTAGATTCATTAAGAGGAGGATAATAGGCATTGATCTGGGTTCTTTCCCCAGATCTCCCTTTTTCACGACCTCGATCATGGGTATTACTCTATCCTCTGTTCTTGAGAACCTTGTAAAAATTCCCTTGTTAGAAAGTCCAGGAGATAATTTAATTCTCCTTTAACATATTCAATCTTAAAATCGAAGACCGAAAGAATGGCCTACCATCTTGCAAATATTTGTTTAGAAACAATGTTCTTTACACCATGTTCAAGAACATTTTTAGCAGAACTAAAATCAATTCTTAACAAAAATTTTTGATTTAACAAATCTTCTGAAAATTTATAAATGTATTTGAAAATAGACAATTTTTTTTAATGGTAGAATAATTTAATTGAGTAGATCCCCATTTACCTATTTTCTTGTGCCTTTACAATAATAGATTGAATAGGATGAATTATTTTTAATGGTTGAATTTGATTGAAAAGGGTGAGTTGGTTTAAATTTTTGTTTGTGATTTTGATTTAATTTTGGTTCTTTTTCAGTGACGTAAAATTTAGTTTTGTAGATTGATTTCTAGAATGAATCTCGGGTTTATTTTATTTTGAATTTTAATTTTGATTTGTTATGATTTTTGTTTATGATTTTGATTCAATTTTGAAATTGAGATGTTGGATTTCTAGATTTTTTTTTAACCCTATAGGGAGAGAGATATGGATTGAGTGTATGGAGAAGGATGGTCTGCTGGAGAAGAAGGAAAAAGGGTATTAAAGTCATTTTANGATCTCCCTTTTTCACGACCTCGATCATGGGTATTACTCTATCCTCTGTTCTTGAGAACCTTGTAAAAATTCCCTTGTTAGAAAGTCCAGGAGATAATTTAATTCTCCTTTAACATATTCAATCTTAAAATCGAAGACCGAAAGAATGGCCTACCATCTTGCAAATATTTGTTTAGAAACAATGTTCTTTACACCATGTTCAAGAACATTTTTAGCAGAACTAAAATCAATTCTTAACAAAAATTTTTGATTTAACAAATCTTCTGAAAATTTATAAATGTATTTGAAAATAGACAATTTTTTTTAATGGTAGAATAATTTAATTGAGTAGATCCCCATTTACCTATTTTCTTGTGCCTTTACAATAATAGATTGAATAGGATGAATTATTTTTAATGGTTGAATTTGATTGAAAAGGGTGAGTTGGTTTAAATTTTTGTTTGTGATTTTGATTTAATTTTGGTTCTTTTTCAGTGACGTAAAATTTAGTTTTGTAGATTGATTTCTAGAATGAATCTCGGGTTTATTTTATTTTGAATTTTAATTTTGATTTGTTATGATTTTTGTTTATGATTTTGATTCAATTTTGAAATTGAGATGTTGGATTTCTAGATTTTTTTTTAACCCTATAGGGAGAGAGATATGGATTGAGTGTATGGAGAAGGATGGTCTGCTGGAGAAGAAGGAAAAAGGGTATTAAAGTCATTTTAACTTTTTTGTTAATAGAGTTGGTTGTTCGTTTTAATCTATTAACCATGAGGGGGTTATGTGTTTATTTTAGAAGAATAGAGAGGTGATCTAGAAAAGCACTAAACCACAAGGAAGGAAAGTGAATTTTCTCCTATATTTTATCTGGGCTCAAATTATGGCACCTAAAGGTCCATGTTTTGTAATTATGGCACCTAAAGGTCCATGTTTTGTAGCCCAACTTGTTGAGTTTAAAAATCACTTAAGAAATATCACCACCCTTCATTTTGTTGTAAAAGACTTAGCTTTGATGTCAATTCTTTCCTGGAAATCACGCAGCAAAGAACACACTCTCATTATAGTGACTATCACTCAAAAATTACATATAATAAGAATATTGTTAATAAAACAAATAATTTCACATGTAATATATATCAAAAGAACGGTTATTTGAATAAAATTGGAATTTAGCATAATCTCATGAAAGAATATTAACACAACATCAAACACATAATCAACACTTCCCCTTTCTCATGAATAGGCGGAAATAATACACATGTATGACTTCTGGAATCAAAAAGGACTTTAGCAATGTTGTAACGTGGCCATGAGTTTAGGGTTTAAGAAATGACGTCAACGATATTCAAAACAACCTATCATTTCTTGATTAATGTGATCGAAACTTTCAAATACATGATATTTCCGTTACTTCATTTTTATTCTCATTTTTCACTTTCTTGGTTTTTTTCTTTTTTTCTTT